TAATATTTTGATTTTAATTTAATTTTTTTTTTTTTTACAAAATTTTGTCACGCCTATTAAATTGTCGATTATAGAGGGAGGAGGATCATAAGTCAGACGGAATGATTGATGGAAATTTGTTTTATATTAATCAACCAACATTTACAAATGGAGGGAATAACTTAAATTTAAGCGGAGCTACTAAGTACGAAACTTTCAATTCCGGAACGTACGAAAAACGTGGTCAAGAGGTAAAAACATAAAAAATTTTTTTTTAACTTGCGAACGGGAATTATTTATTTGTATTCTACTACTTTAGGACAATCACAAGGAACAGCCAGGAACGAAACAGATAAAAATAGAAGATTTCTTTCCCATTCGTGCTGTCACTCCATCCACTGATATGAATAATGACTATACAGACCATGATGGCGAAACATCAGTCCCATTAAGTTCTCCTTAAGACGCAGAAGATGATTATGTGAAAGATTTGGAATACTTCGATAAACTTGTGGATGACGTAGATCTAACCTATATTGGAGGTGAAGAAGAATCTACATCACCACTCTCAAAGTCTAGAATTCCAGTAGAAAAAAATTAGGACTCATTCATGATTGATGAAATTGATATAGCAAAATGTTTTAGTTCCCTTTACAAATCCCTACCAAAAACAAGTCACGAGGTCCAGTAAGTATTCTATATAAGGATTTTGCAGATGAGTATTGTAATAAATTCACTTATATCATCCTTCTCCTTGAAGCCCACAATACTGGGAAGTTCTTGACTTAACGGGACAGCATAAACCAATGAAAAAAATGTTATGGAAGAAATGGAATTATCTGGTCGATGATTTTTGAGTTGATGTTGGATGGAAAATGATAGGGCTTGACCAGTCCGAGCTAGACTTTTTTGATAATATGGAGGTAATGTATTTACATGTATTTAACCATTGCTTTTATTTCGCTAATTTTTTTATCCCACATGTGCTCTTTTTTGAATAGGACTTAGAAGTTCAGCAAACATTGCATATACTAAATGCCTATCTAACAATATTAAAGTCATATCTTGAACATCTTAAACTACCACTTAATGAGGGAAAACTTATGATCTGCTTTGTGACCCCTGCCTTCAATATGAGCTTGGATCTAAATCAAGAAAAATTTTGAAAACATTGGTAATTTTAAAAATCATCTCTGTTTTGTATATGTTATTAATCTCATTTTGACATCTTATCTTTTGATCTTCAGGTCTGAACAATAACTAATAGCAAGCCAGGAAAGATGCAGAGAAGGTCAAGATCCTAACAATAAGCGTGCACGTACTGGGCAAAAGACCGATATTATAATCGATTTACCAACAGGACCAGCTTTAGAAGGTTTCATTTGCGAAGTCTCGGGAGGACTTCCAGCAGGTTGTTCAAAAAAAATTTGGACAGATAAGCTAAAACTGATGGTTGGAATGTGAGACATAAACAGAATAATGAAGACCTTTTCTGGTTTACTATTGACAGATTATATGAAAGTTGTTGTATTCGGATGCCAAGTGATTGGTAAATGGTCTTATTTAAAGAGTAAGCAATAGAAATTTCTGATAAGACTGCTAACAAGACGCGCCTTTTATGACATAGGTCTGCAGATGAATCTATATGCAATGAATGTTCGGACTCCAGAAATTTATCGTTTTGGAATAGTCGACAAGGTTTCTTTGCCTGCTTCAGCAAAAGAGTTACTTACATATGAGGCAGTGCATGTGATGCTACGTTCTCTAGAGGTTGTTATTCACTTACTTCCTTGCTATCATTGTATTTCTTATCATGCTTACCAAATTTAATTTTTACAGCACCGATTGGGCAATCTAACAGATTATTGTACAGATCTTAAAGTCAAACATGCAAAGTTGAGGCGAAAACATGATTACATATATCAAGAAGACAGACTGGCATTTTCAAATAACACTCCGAATTCATCTCCCAAAAACAAACTTCCCAGTATTAATTAGATCATAGTAATAAATTTTAGAATATGAACGCCTTTTCACAAGTTTTAATTTTTATACATAGTAAGCATGGTGTTTGTAACTGTACGTCGAAAAAATGCAGGATTTCACTATTTCACAATAAACAAATTTTTTTTTCGATCACTAGTGATATTTTCGAATCTTGATTTTCAGTGAAAGTTTTTTTGTCACGTGTAATTTTTCTTGGCAAAAAACTGTTCCCTTGGGGAACGATCAGAAAAATCACGTGAATTTTTTATTCAGTGGATCGGAGTTAATGCAATATATTTAATATAGGAAGGCAGAATTAATATTACGCAATTTCGCGGTAATGGCACAGTATTGATATGGTATTTTTTTCAGATCTAATAGTACAATATATTATTTGATACGGTATTAGTGCGGTATTTCTTAAAAATAGTTATGATGCAATTTTTAGACTATCTTAACAATCGCTTCCACATGACTTTGGTTAAAATCATTCCACAGTAGTTATTTGCATGATTCTAAGTCACATTCAATATATATAGTCATTCAATATGTAATGAATTGTCTTTTGCGCTTCTGCCACTCCCCTCTCCAAGTAATTGCAATAATGTAGTTAAGAAAGGTATATAATACCTTGGTCTCTAGAGACCTGAATCCAAAAAAAATAAAAAGCTTTTTATAATGTGGACTGATGAGCAACTTCGAGTCTTGATCGACAACCGCAAAGAAAATAACGAAATATTTCATGAACTAGCTAGGAATGGAAAGAGAATTTTCTGGAAGAAAGTCTTCACAAAGATCAACCTTCAGTTTGGAATGTCTTATACTAGTACGCATTGTAGGAAAAAGTTTGAGAGTCTTAAATGGGATTGTAAAGTATGTAGAAATCCTTCTGAAATCTCAACCATGCACAGCGCCTGATGCCAGACTAATTTATCTTTTTTATTTAACGTATGGAAGCATACATCGATGGTAAAGCCAATGGAAAAAGGACTAAGAACAGCCTCAAGTATTATGAGGAATTCAAAGAACAGTTCTGGAAAATACCAGGTAAAGATTAGTTAATCAGAGGAAGAAATATTTATGAGAAGATATACTAATCCCTAATACTTTATTTCACTATAGTGACTGACTATGATCAGCTCTGTGAATAAAATATTGTAAGAAGACATCAAACCCCACCACTGTTATATAAAGAAAATGGAGGTTCTACCTCACAAGTACTATTACTACACTCGTAATAATAGGAATAATTATATCTAGCTATTAGTATTTTTTGCTATAATTATTTTATATTGCTAGAAATCACCAAATACTTATATAATGTAAATACCAATTATAATAAAAATAATATCATTTTTGAAGAAAAATTAATCGAAAGGCGCTTTGCATGAATTAGCTTGAGTACTTTTTTCCTTGCGCTTCTGCCTCACCTCTATCTCTTTCTGCAGGTTCAATAGTGTATCAAACCTTAACCGAATTGCAAGAAAATGATCTTCAGGTCTATTGAGATTAAATACAACAAACTCACCCTTTTTTGCGAAGATAGCTATTAATGACCATTGATGCATTTTTTACATCATCAGTATAGTGTCTAATAATTTTGGAAACATCTTCATATAAGCTACCAGAATTAAAAAGTACTAAGTAATCAGCATTTTCACGTATAAACATATCTATTTATGATATTTTTGCACTACATATATACATGAAATATTCTGATATCGACCATTCTTAAAAATTGGCTGATTTGTTTCTGTACATGCTCTGGAGCAAGACATAAATCCTCAAAAATAATTGCTGTGTTTCTTTCAGGCAAAAATGCTCTTGTACTGGAATTTTTTCAGGTAAGATATATTTAAAAGTAATATTTTCATAGTAAGGCGCTTTCAGATCTTTTGAAATTATGCTATACATATATCTTATGAATGCCCATTTTAGTTCATCAGGATGGTAACCGCAAACTATCAAATCATCACATGCAATATATCTAGACCCGCCTTTTTTACCTTTATATATATATTCAGATATATCACCAAGAAAAAGATTTGCCAAAATATTAGTCTTACCTGTTTCACTTTTCTCTGTGACTACCATGCTGAAAGGGCAGTCAGGACTCGCTTCATGGCCTTTTGCTTGAGATGACATATGCTTTGTGGCCTAATCCATATCTATAACATAAAGTTTCATAGGGTAGTTCTATCTTTTGATTCTTCTGTGTATTGGATTGGGAATTTATAACTCTGATTTTTATTTAAGGGTATTTTATAATTCAGAAGATTTTTTTTCATTCGAATATAAATGAGAGAATACGCATCATAAGATAAATATGATTAGTAATACTATTACGAAGATGAGTACATGTTGAAAGAAGGAATTAGATTTCTCATTAACCAGAGCTTGGGTCACTTTGTGGCTAGCAATAATAGTAATATTGAAAGATCCCTTTGAGGCCAGGTGAGTTCAGGACTAGTGATATCATTATTTTTCTCTAGTTTATTAACACTTGAAGGTTCCTTTTAGTTAGAGGTGCTTAGGCATGATCTCGTCCCTTCATGCACTTCATACTCGCTAGATGTTTTTTAGATCTGCTCAGCTAAACAAGCATTAGTTGGTTTCTTTAGTTTCACTTCTTGAATGAGAGAATTTCTTTCTGACAATGCCTTTTGCAATACTTCTAGTAAATCTTTCTTAGCAATTTTTTTTTCGATTTCCTTTACTTTATTTTCGAGCTCAAGCTCATAGACAAAGCTCTTTAAACTTTCATCAATCCAATCAGGTAACTTTAGATCTTCTTGCTTATCTAACTCCTCTAGTATTTCACCATTTATATTCGAATCATAGAATACCTGTTCTAGTTTCAGATTTTTTAACTTACCTTCCAATTCACTTATTTTAGCTTCAAGAGAGAGAATCTTGATCTTGTCAAGGAATAAAGCTTTCTGTGCCAAAGTCTCTTTTTTCTTCAGTATTTTAATCTCTGATTTAAGTGATTTTATTTCAGCAGAATAATTAGCTCGCTCTGCTTTACACTCAGTATAGAATGACTACTCAGAAGATTTAAGCCTAGTATTGATCGCATTCAGCTGGCTAATCTTTTTATTAGCATTAGCTTGAACTAGCACAAGATCTTTTTTTTGCTTTAAACATATATCCTGTAGGTCTTTATATTCATTAGCAGTATCAGAAGCAATTTTGATACTTTGCGCAATGCTTTCTCAAGTTTTGATTCACGGATGCTACTAAGTCGATGACCTGGAAGGATTTATTTACCTAGTAAACCTCCAACTACCTCTTTATCCTCAATATCTTTTAAGATATGCACATTGGACATAATTTTTTTCGGCCTAGTCATTAGTATACTAAAAAATTATGAGCGATCCTGAAAATACTTTATTTTTTATGGATGTTACCAATACTAGCATACTACTGATACTAACGTTACTACAATATTATCGATACTATCATACTACTAATACTATTATTATTAATACTACTGATACTACTGATACTACTATATTACTGATACTAGCATACTATCGATACTACCAATATTACCGATACTACTGTATTATTGATACTAGCATAATACTAGTATTACTGATATTTTTTGTACATTTTTTTATTTATAGTGAAAAAAAATCTCTAGCGATTAACTACTAATATGATCACACTCCAGTTTAAAACACATATTAGTTTCAGGGCTAGTTACTTGTCTCCCGCAGATTATAAAGACATTATGCAATACCGTGATATGAAGTCCAAACCTTTAGCTTAACTAAGTAAAAAATATAATATATTGAATAGTCGCTTATATCAAATTTAAAGAAGACAAGAGTTTAATAGGATTCAATAGAATGATTTAGCAGTCACTCCAAGTATGAATATTATGGATAAACAGAATGAGAAATGTTAAGCTGAAAGAGAAATTCAAAATAAATTCGATTCTGCATTCACAGCATTGGAAAACAAGATACATGATACTAAAATTAGCAAATCTACTAATCTAGCTTCAGAAGAGGATGTTATTTCAGATAGTAAGATAAAAAAGACTGGAAGAAGGAAATCAAGAATCAAGACTGTTTGCACTTCCGATTCTATTTTATCTACTGAATCTTCTGAAGATGTCTTGGATTTGTATAAGAGAACTAATAATAATATAGAAAAAATTAGAGCATCTGGTCATGCTTTTACTTTCAAATAGTTATTCATCCTATTTAATTCAGTTGTGCAAACTATTATAATATCCTATAATTTCCAAATTCGATTGAATGCTAGAAAATAATACCTTTTCAAGCTCTCTCATACAAATTGTCATATCCTCATAGTTCATGCAGTTTACGCATTTTTTTTTAAGTCCTCCTCCTAAAGGAGTTGATATATGCTTGATCTTGCTTCTCTTTGAACGGATCTTCAACTTCTAGAGTTTTGCTAAAAGTTGGAATAATGTAAGTTTTCCCATGTAACTTCATTCGAAATTGATTTTTATTTGGGTCAAGAACACCTTGAACTTTCCTAATCTATGTCATACCTAAACATAACATTGGTTCAGGTTCTCCATTATCAATACAAGTAAAATTTCCAGTAACTGTGATAGTTTTACCATCCTTATCCTTTATACTGATTGGTACATCTGTAAACCATTCCAATGATTCAGTAATGTGTTTGGAGTTACCTTTTATTGTAAAGTCAGATGACTTATCAGCTTTCTACCCAAGAGCATTAATTGTTGCATCATTCGCTCCTCCGAACTTACTCGCATTATCTAAAAAAGAATTAGAGATCGTTAAATCATCTATTTTAGCATTCAGATATTGTAATGATGAAAACCACTCATCTGATTTTAATTCTTTCTCCTGAACTATATGAGACTGATATATTTTTCGCATTGCTAGTGAAAGTTTTGGAAATAATTCATCATATATTTTCGGCTGGTTGAACTCTAAAGGTAACTTATCATTTAGTGGTAATTGTTTTTTTTTCAGGTGTATAATACCACGCATTTACTACTTTATCATGACCATCTTCCTCATTATTAGAATCCAGAGGCGTGTATTGGAACTGTGTAGGTAAAAGTTAAGGATAACAATACTGGGTAAAATTTGATTTAGCTACAGGATTTAATCTAGGACAATTATTTTTCTTATGCCCTTTCTGTCCATAATTACTACAATAAAAAAGTTTTCAAGATTGATCATTAAGCGACATTCTTCTTAATTGATTATTTAATTGACCTACAGAATCTGCAACATTACCTACAGTGTTCGCAACTTTACTTACTATACTTTCCAATCTATCTATTTTTGCTGAACATAATTTTTCCAGTTTATATGGTACAGAAGGTCCATCAAAAGGATTATTACTTTCATATGAATCGAGTAATTGCTTCATGTTTTTAGAAGGAATTGGTAGAGGGATTTTCTTACTTTGCTGAGCCATCTGTGCTTAGAATTCAGCTTTCTGATTTTCTAATAAAGTTTGATATTCAATTTTTTATTGTGCCAATGCATTTTGAATTATTTTTTGCATATCTTCTAAAGAAATTCCTTGCTGTTGAGATGTGATATTAGAAATAGTAAGAGGAGCTGATGAATAGCTAGAATATGATGGTAATGGCCTTAATATCCCACAACGTAATTTCATTTCTTCCAAACTATCGAAAATATTGTTAATAGGTTTGTGATGACCAATCGTAATGATGTCTTTTAATATATCATGTCTTACTTCAGACATAAAATATATTTTCTTTTGTGCAGGAGTATAGCCCCATATTTTTGAATTTTTGCCCAGAAAGATGTTACATTTTTATGTGTTCCTTGTTTTAATGTTCCAATTTCAAGTATTTTCAAATATCTATCAGCAGATGGAAAATGATTTTTAATATGATTCAACTTTTATCCAGACCAGATTCTTGCAAGAATAATAGGAACACCTCCTCCAGTATTTGGTGCAACTGGTATTGCATTAGTTAGTCGTTCTCTAGCTATTCTCCAATTTTCATCAAGTTCTCGAACTGGAATAATATCTGCACCTGCAAGACCTAATAGAATATTTGAAAAAGATGCGACAGCTCCTGTTATAGTCCCTGCATTAGCATCACAAATATGAGCTATAGTGGCACCTATAGCTGAGTTATTAAGTATGTTTTGTAACTCCTAGTTTTTATTATCAAACTCTCTTTTGTACCATTCTCACACTTCTCCTTTTACAGATCGATCCAATATATTGTAAATTCTTACTTCATCATTTAGACCTACTAAATGGATATACGCTATAAATAGTGTTTAGACCCATAAACCATTAATCCAATTTATTAATGGGTATCCATTATTAACAGATATCCAGTTTGAAGTTTGATCAACGGATTATTATCTGGATACTAAAATTAACTATCGGATGTAACCGATTAAATCTGATAAAAAATATCAGATATCTGGTTAAATTGTTTAATCTGGATTATCAGATATCCGATTATAAATTAGATATAATTAAATGATATACAATATTTGTTCTTTTTTTGTTTTAGCTTCAATCATGAGCGGTACAAATAATATAAGACAAGATGGTTCTTTGACGCCTTTAACTTCTTTAACTCCTAAAGAAGAACAACCAACAAAAAAAACAAAACAAAATCGAAAAAAAAGAAGTTGGACTTGGGATTACTTTGAAGATGTAAAACAAACAAATGATCAAGGAGAACTGCTTAAAAGATGTAAAGTTTTAGATACTCAAGAAAATAAATGTGGAACTCTTTATGTTAATGATGATTCAACCGGAAATACCATTAATCATTTATTAACTGATCACGAAATATCAAAAAATGGTAAAATAAATAATGTATGTATTTTTTCTTTAATTTTTTTGTAATGAGTCAAAAATTATATAATAAATTTATTATTTATTATATAGAAACAGCAAACTCTTTCTGCTATTTTTCAGGTTCAAAAATATAAAGAAAATCGTCAAAATAAACTTCGTCAATTTTTGGCTGATTGGATAATTGATGACCTTCAACCATTGTATGTAGTTCAAAGTCTTTCTTTCCGTCGATTTATTGGTGAATTAGATCCAGCCTTTATAATGCCTGATGAAAAGTGAATCAAAAAGATTATTCATAATGCTTATAATTTTATATTGCTAATGTTAATTGAAAAAATTAACACGGAAGCAAGAAGTGTATCATTAACTACTGATATGTGGACTGCAAGGAATAGGCAAGAATACATTAGTGTAACCTGTTTTTATATTGATTCAAAATTCAATCTTAATGAAATTACTTTAACAATTAATTATGTTCGATACCCTCACACCGCTCAATATATTGCTAAAAGTTTAGAAGATATATTTGTAAAATGGAATTTACGTGAAAAGGTTTTTACAATCACTACTGACAATGGGGCAAATATAAAAAAAGCAATTTTAGATATGGATGCAATTAAATGGTAAGGATG